GCTTTTCTGTAGCACAATGCATGTAGAATATCATGGTCCATGTAATTTTAAATTACATTTTCTTCTTCATCCTTTCCAAATGAGACCATTTTATTTTTTGAGAAAAATGGGACAAAATCATTGTTCCATTGTGTTATTATATATTGCCTCCATTTGTTAAGGTATAGAAACTTAGTTTCACACAGCCATTGACCACCAAAATGACACCCCACCTTAATTTAAAGATTTAGTCATAGAAATGTAAGTGACAGACCCCAAAGCCCCAAGAAAGGAGTCAGTCATAGCAAGTTTTTGCTGTGTGTGTGTGTGCATGTATATATGTAAAAATAACATGTATCAGGTTAAGTTGCATTTCTTATTTTGTGATGAAATGTATATGCATCTGATCATATATGTTAATGTAATTATCTGTTGATTAAAATGCTGGTCAGAAATTCTATATGTAGACAGCATTTGGTTGAGCTAAGACCTTGAAATCATTTTCTCCATAAAGATGGTATTGTCTTCTGTCATATAGCTAACATAGCTAATGGTTTCTGGAGTTTAGATAAGAATATGAACAAAGGTAAGAAAGGCATTAAAATTGTTTAAGAAATATTAGTTTCAAAATGACCATTTAAATAACAATAATTAAAATAAAGTATTTGAAAAATTACATGTTTGGGATAGAATTTAAAAAATCAAACGAGGGATGAAAAGGAAGAGTGGAGAAAGCTAGCCACAAACTTTACCTGTCTGTTTGGTTTCAGGTAATCCTTACAAGTGCCAACAGAATGGAGAGGGATTGCTATTTCTAGGAAAAAAAAAAAAAAAAAGAGACTCAGAAACAATCTACTGTTGATCTTGTCTATTATCCAAGTGATATTTGATGTAGCATTTTTCTGTTTTATTGAATTTCTGATATTTATATGTTGTGGGTTTTTCTTAGATTTATGGTACTATTTTAAGGCTGTTAGAATTATATATACTTTTTAACATATGTGTTATTTCTGATGTAAATTGTTAAGTTCCAAACATTATCTTCTACAACTTGTCTTTCTCAATTCCAATAAATTATTCTAAAACTACCCACTCTTAGACATAATTTCATGATAAGTATGGAATTCAGAGATTTTTTTTCTTCCATTTTTTTCTATAAAGAAATTCAAGACCAAAGAATTTTAATGATGCGTGGTAAGTTAGTGCCTTCTTTAGGGAAGGGATATCTGTTTTCTCCATCATCAAATCTCCAGTACCCAGCAAATTACATAGAACATGGTAAGTGCCCAAAAACTATTTGATTAGATGAGTAAAAATAGGAAAAGCAAGAGTTTGAAACATTTCTACAGCTCAAGAATTACCCATAAAAATTTACTTTTTGTTCTAAGATAAACTCCACAATGAAAATTAGTTCTTCCAGGAGTTGTAGCCTCGCTCACCAGATTCCAAACAGTAACCAACACAAATAATATGAAGGTTTAAAAGCTTTTTGGCCAGTCGGTCTCTGGTCTGTTTGACCAAACCCCATAATTACATGAGTACATGGTATAGATTTCCCAACACATTCCAGTCTCAGATATCTATCTCCCTTATTGTTCCCAGAAATACACATATGGTTTCCAAACTATGTAAATGCATTTTTTACAGAAAATATGAATACTGTCAAAAAATTTTCCATGGCAAAATATAATCTAAAATAAACTTTCAAAGCTATGCTGTAATTCATGGAAATTAGAATAATTCCTAGAAAATGTGATAACAAGCAGTAATAATTTAAGTAGCAATGTAGTAAAGGTAATTAATGAGAGTGAAATTTCATATAAGAGACAAACTTTAAATAATTATTATAAAAGAGAGAGAGACAAAGAAAATTCTATTTGAGAAGAACAGAAACTTTGAATGTACATAAAGGTGGATTAACAATTTTTCAGTTGAAGCAAGAAATAATAGTAGCAAATTAACCCCATGTAATAGAGACCTGACTGAAGAATACAGTCTAGTGAGCATAGTTCTCACCCAGAAAAATATTCATGGGATGAATAAATAAATAAGTGGGCTTTTCCGAACTCCAAAACTACTTTAATCATTTTCATTACCAGTAAATGTACACAAGTATATCCTTTAGAAAATAAAACTGTTAGATCCTGTCCAATTATGTTTCAGAGATAGAGTTCTATTAAGCTGCCTGTGTCAGGGAATTTTTATAATGTTGAACCAAGTCATAAAGAGTTAAAATTTATTTTACCATCAGGGTGGTCGTGGTTTCATTGGTGGTGATGGTATTGTTTTTAGTCAATTTTATATGTAGTTGATTTTCTAAGTATGACTAAAGAGCTCTCTGAATTTGGTTGGACTCATTCCATCGGCATTTGTTTGTGTACATGAAAATGAGCGGGTTTCTAAGAGTCAGAATTAACAAATATATATCCCTCAATAGATCTATTTTTTCAGGTTTATCAGTTTGCAACAAGGAAATACTGGTAGCCAGGACCACCAAATAGATTTCTTAATAGGCAAGAATCTATACTGTATTATTCATTTAAATGCAAACATTAGAATTAACTTTGGCTCTAATTTCTTTAAGGGTTAAGCAACTTATGCACATTTTTTGCAGATGTATTTCTTTCTATAAAGTTACCTCTTCCTGTGTAGTTTAATAAGTACAGAGTCAGCATAAACAGTATTCCAAAGAAATCTGTCAAATAACATTTCGAAAAATCAACATTTCATAAAATACAACTTTTTCATAAATAACAGCCAGCCACACACAAAAATGATTCCCGTATTAGTGACAGATTTAGAAACTAAAAACTGCACAAGTTAAAAATATCCATTTTAGAATTTTTCTTTTCAACCAGAAAGATATATTTCTTTACCTCTTGTTTGAATCAACCCCCAACTCCCCCCGAAAAAAGGGGGGAAAAACCATAATTCAGAGACGTGCAAATATTTAATATTACTTGTGCTACAAGAGTCTTATACCTACAATATTTAAAATTCTTAAACAAAAATAATACCCAACTATCACCACTGACATCTTAGAGTTTGTTTTCATTAGGGGGTCACAAGTCACTTACCCCTAAAAGAAAACTCCATGAGAGGGTAACCTGTTTTCTGGAAACCTTAGAATTCTTAGTTTAAAATTCTATGTGCTTCTTATTCAATAACATACTATATTTACTTAAGAAGGAGTTATTCCTGGGTAATGTTCACATCCAAATTTTTAGGTTGAATAAAAACAAGAGCCAAATAAACTTGACAATTAGGTGAACAAAGTTTCTGGTTTAAAAATGGCCTCTGTCTAGAAGCCTTGGACAAAGCCTCTCCCGAACTCTCACTAAAAGAACTATGTAAGGGCAGAAAAGATGTAAATTTATGACCCCATAAACTAAGATTGACAGACAACCCAAGGCCTGAATCTGGAAGGAATTTTCAATAATTGGAAGTCAGACAGGGCTGAGTGTATTAACCAATTGGTGCCCTGTGTGCATGCCATCTTGTGACATGGAACAACCTTGACAGAATGAGAGATGATAGAAGGCCACCAAACCTAATCCACATTCCCCTGGCAGAGAAGCAGGACCTGCTTCTGATCAAGGATCTCTGTAGGTGATGCTCTTCCCCCTTGCTCCTCTTTGATGCCCTCATCCTGTGTGTTCTAGTATCTGAAAGTCCCAAAGCAATCTGCGTAAAAGAGAACCAGGGCAAGAGAGACCCGCATTCAAGGTGAAATGCTGCAGCCTTGACAGTGTAGACCCAGTAACAAAACTCCCAAGAAGACACAGCCCAAGGTGAATGGGAATTGATCATAAAAAGATGCTGGGATCTCTGCACAGTATCTAGCTTGGCAGTCCCCAGCCTTTTTGGCACCAGGGACCAATTTCATGGGAGACAATTTCTCCAGGAGCCAGGGGTGGGCGGATGGTTTCGCGATGATTCCAGTGCATTATATTTATTATGCACGTTACTTCTATAATTGTTACATTGTACTACAGAATGAAATAATTATACAACTCACCATAATGTAGAATCAGTGGGAGCCCTGAGCTTGTTTTCCTACAAGTAGATGGTCCCATCTGTGGGTGATGGGAGGCAGTGACAGATCATCAGGCGTTAGATTCTCATAAGGAACGTACAACCTAGTTTCCTCACATGCGCAGTTCACAGTAGGGTTTGTGCTCCTATCAGAATCGAATGTGGCTGCTGATCTAACAGGAGGCAGAGCTCAGGCAGTAATGTGAGCGACAGGGAGGGCTGTAAGTACAGATGAAGCTTCGCTTGCTCACCTACCACTCACCTCCTGCTGTGCAGCCTGGTTCCTAAAACAGATGGTACCAGTCTGTGGCCCTGGAGTTTAGACCCCCAATCTAGTTCTTCAGCTCTGCAGATCTGAGAAGTTTGCAAGCCAAAGGCCAATCCGCTCAATCAAAGCACTGAGTCTGGAAACATTCTTGTTCATTTAAAGATTGATAAAATAATGACAATAATTGTAACAACAGTTACTGAAAATTACTATGTGACAGGTACTATTTTTAGTGCTTATAAATAGTTAATCGTTTCACCTTCATAAAACATGATGAGGTGGTTATTATTTCCCTCTTACTGATGAGGAGACTGAGACAAAGAGAATTTTAGTCAAAGTAATTTGCTGAAAGTGACACAGGTAGTAAATGGTGAAGGTATGATTTGAACACAGGCAGTTTAATTCTAATAAAACTCTACTCTTCGCCTGGATCAGTGGCTTACGGCCGTTATCCCGGCACTTTGGGAGGCCGAGGCGGGCGAATCACGAGGTCAGAAGTTTGAGACCAGCTTGCTCAACACGGTGAAACCCCGTCTCTACTAAAAGTACAAAAAATTAGCTGGGCATGGTGACAGGTGCCTGTAGTCCCAGCTACTCGGGAGGCTGAGGCAGAAGAATGGTGTGAACCCGGGAGGCAGAGCTTGCAGTGAGCCGAGATCGTGCCACTGCACTCCAGCCTGGGAGACAGAGCAAGACTCTGTCAAAAAAAAAAAAAAAAGGGTACAAAAATGAGCTGGGCGTGGTGCTGGGCGCCTGTCATCCTGCCTGCTCAGCAGACCGAAGTAAGAGAATTGCCTGAACCTGGGAGGCAGAGGTTGCAGTGAGCGGAGATTATGCCACTACACTTCAGCCTGGGCAACAGTGAGAAACTGTCTCAAAATAAACAAATACATATATACATATATACATACATACATACATACATACATACATACTCTACTCTTAACCAATATTATAAACGAACAAAAAAAGAGTATATTTAAAGAAGTAATAAAGACAAAGTGTAAACATTGTGGGATAAAAGAAACATCATCCTGAAGATATTAGCAAGTGTACGTATCTTAAAAAGATTTATTATAAAAAAGAAAAATAACTGGAAAACTTTTAGCTTCCTGGAGAGAATACGAGAAGACATGGCCCCTCTGAAAGAAGAAGAGAAAGATAAAAAGAGATAATAGCTTGGGGTTTAATGATAAATGGATGAGGTAAATAAAGATGCAAGTGTTACAGATTATTACATTGGTGACACAAATTAATGACCTCCCTCTAGCCACAACACCCTTTGCGATGTCATTTTACAGCCCCTCCCATGAAGAAATGGAATCTATTTCTCCAAGCTGGAATTAGAGCTGGCCTGGAGATGGGTTTGACCAATGAAATGCTCGAATTAGAGCTGGCCTGGGGATATATTTTGACCAATGAAATGCTCGAATTTGAGCTGGACAGGAGATCCACTTTGACCAATAAAATGCTCGAATTAGAGCTGGCCTGGAGATACGCTTTGGCCGATGAAATGCTCTGAAACGTTATCACGCCAGTTGTGAAACTAGGCCTCAAGAGGCTGTGCTTTGTTTTACTCTCTCTTTCTGTGCCTTCTGCCGTGAGTGTAAGCTCAGGTAGTCTGCTGAAGAATGAGGGGCCACATGAGTAGAAAATGAGTGGATCCACTGTGAGGGTATCCTAGACCCACAAGTCCCCAGTCAACTGGCCAACTAGCAGCAGCTTCATGAATGAGCCTAGGCAAGATCGGCCAGGCCTGGCCCAGAACAGCAAAACTGCCCTGGCTGACCCATGGACACAGGAAAAATAAATAAACAATTGTAGTTTTATGCTATATATTTTGGAGCTGTGTATTACTCAGCAAAAGCTATGGTAACGAAACACGTAGCTAGAAAGATAAAAGATGAAATGCACTAGAAATATCAGTTATTTCCTCCATCAATTATATTTTTTTCCTACTCTATGTTACCTTTAGAAAAGTATCTGCCCAAAGTTCTTCATCTGACCATCTGCCTTCCCACTGAAGGGGCATCAGGTCATGTGGCCCTATTCCCCCAAAACCACAGCTATGGGGACCAAGAGTAGAAATCTGGCTCAAGTTGGACGCATCAGAATCTCATTTATGAGAATTTAAAATTAGCTTCCAAAGGCTCTGATCAGCATTTAAAACGAGGGAAGGCTCTTATGAGGAGATAAATAAAACCAATGTACAAAATGAAGCAGAGAAGAGAGTATATAAGGCCTCAGAGACAGAAACAGAGAAAATGGACTGTGCTACAGGTTACTTCCTGGGAGCCCACAAGATACCTGTGTCCATATTGTTTTCTTTTTCCCATTGTAGAATATGTTTCCATTTTGCATGCCTCAGAGGGTCACCTGCTCATTCTTCAAGACAAGACAACTCAATAGGATAGAATGACCATGTTTTCATTTACTGAAACCAAATTTAGCAAAGATATAGAAATACTATAATATACAAAGGATTTTTGGCTTTTCTAACTTCTACTATTGTATCTCCTTTATATAGTTACTTTCTTTTTAGGAAGGGCAAGAAGAAAAGGTAGATTTTCATGAGAAAATTTCAAAAGTAGATCTTTCCTCTTCAATTTTTTAAAATGTCAAATGTTTACACATGAAGAGTAAAATGGAGAACGGACACACTTCTCTAGAAACATCAGGCTTCCAGTATTAATTAGGAAATAATGTGGTTTCTGCTGTGAAGATCCTAACTCTGTTTCTTCCAGGGTGCTGGACTGTTCTTCCCATCAGATAAAGATGTGCACAGCAGGAACCACTAGATGGAGGTGGAGATGAAAATGAAATTCACGTTATTTCCCGGTATTCTTTGCCTGAATAGTCTCTGCAATGGTCCAAAGTGTTAAATAGAGAGATCTTGGAGCCATTCCTCCTCTCTCTCTGTGTGTGTGTGTGTGTGTGTGTGTGTGTGTGCGCGCGCGCGCGCGCGCGCGCGCGCAAGTTACAGAGAAAATGCAGTGCAGTGTTGAAAAGCCTTAGTATTCAAATCAAAATCCAGATTAACTACAGGGAAAATGCAGTGTTGAAGAGCCTTAGTATTCAAATCAAAATCCACTGGAGGATTGTGTAAGACTCCACTTCACTTTGTCTTAAATTCCAAGTCCGAAGTGGATTTCCTAAAAGGGTTGTCAGTTTGCAATATTTTCTTTTCTGTGCCTTTTGAAAAATGATACGTGTGACTTTCCTGAATCTGAGTGAGCATAACAACAGATGCAAAGAGATTGAGATGGTGCTACAAAGCTGCCGGAAAGATTTTTTCTTTTCTTTAACAAAAAAGAGAAGAGGGACAAAAAAAAGAAAAAGAAAAAGAAAAAGAAAAAAGAAATAATGCCCCCTTGACAGTTTACATTCCTTCTTCTTTCCTCCTTTGTTATTTATGTTCACTGAGTTGTCCCTGGCCTCCGCATTGATCACCTGTTCTCTTTTCCTCTCCTACTCAAGCAGAAGCTGCCAGTGCTGGTCCCACAAGTAGCAACCCAGATCCTGAAGGCATCCTTCCTGGAAGTTTTACTAAAAGATGATCCAAACACCTAACTATACTGATTTAAAACAGCACCACCAATAACAACAACAAACCTAAGGCCCAGAGGTCAGAACTATTACAAATATAATTTCATATCCATAAACTCCTAAATCTTAATGCCTCATGCTGCACTTATATAATCAGTGGGGTGGGGGGAAAGGGGAAAAATGATGAAGAGAAAAAACAGTACACAGATATTCAACTCTGAGTTTTCTGGGTTAAGGATGAGAAATAAACATTAATTGAAAACTACGCGTGCATCATAAGGAAGGGTTTATAATTTTGACATACGGAGGAGGCAAAAGTAGGTAAAGAGTGAGCTGGAAAACTGAGACCAAAATGGACTTTATACTGAAGTGCTATATTTCGCTGTCTGACATTTGCAGGTGCTTAGTAAATATTTATTTTTTCTGGTCAACTGCTTTCCTCATATTCTTCCTTTATAATCCAAGAGACTTTTATAATATTCTCTAGGGAAAGTGGAGCGAACTCAGACTGAGTATAGATAAGCCCACATTTATAGCCTACTTCTTAATGTTTCTAAATCTCATATCCTTGGGTTTAAACATAATATATATTTTATGAAGTTGTTGAATAAAACTAATGCATGAAAAGAAATTGGCACATACAAGGCAATGAGGAAAGGTTGCTGTTTCATAGTAGGAGGAGGAAGAAGGGGAGGAACAAGAGGAATAATGGTAGTAGATGGGCTCAGATGAAAATTTCTTAGAGCAGCAGAGTGTTAACACCTACAGATTTGAGCAAAAAGAGTCACTGTGAAGTGATGGAAAGGATTCAAGAATAAGAAGTGAATTTGTACTAGATATCACCTTATTACCTTCACTGTCCTAAAACTCTATAATCCTACATATGTGAATGATATGTTGAAGTCAATCAATCAGGAAATTATTTTCATTTTCAAAATTAATCAGGGCCAGTTGTGTCACTGGTCTAGAATCTCACAGTTAATTTTTAAAAGTAATACTTCAAAAAGTTAACTAAGCCAGGGGTGGTGGCTTATGCCTGTAATCTCGGCACTTTGGGAGGTGAGGCGGGTAGATTGCTGGAGCTCAGGAGTTTGAGACCACCCTGGGCAACACGGCAAAATTCCATATCTACAAAAATTACAGAAATTAGCCAGGCATAGTAATGGTGTGCACTGATAGTCCCAGCTACTTGAGAGGTATTGGTGGGAGGATGGCTTGAGCTCAGGAGGTGGAAGTTGCAGTAAGCCAGGATCAAGCCACAACACTCCAGCCCGGGTGACAGTTAGAACGTGTCTCAAAAAAAAAAAAAAAAAAAAAAAAAACCAACTAAAAATGGATCATAGACATAAATGTAAAATACACTATAAAACTCCTAGAGGTTAGCATAGGAAAAAGCCTAGATGACCTTAGATAGGTTGGTGACTTTTTAGATACAACACAAAAGACACAACCCATGAAAGAAATAATTGAAAAGCTTGACTTCATTAAAATTAAAACCTCCTCTGCAAAAGGCAATGTCAAGGGAAGAAGACAAGCCACAGACTGGGAAAAAATATCTACAAAAGACACATCTGATAAAGGACTGCTATTCAAAATATACAAAGAATTCTTACCAACTCAACAATAAAAAAACAAATGACTCAATTGAACACTGGGCCAAAGGTTTTAACAGACACCTCACCAAGAAAATGAGACACCTCTCATTTTATACAGATGGCAAAAAAAAAAAAAAAAAAAGCATATGAAAAGATGTTCTACATCACATGCCATCAGGAAAATGCAAATTAAAACAACAAAAAAACACCATTACACATCCATTAGATTGCCCCAAACCTACTGTACTGACAATATAAAATGCAGGCAAGGATGTGGAGCAAGAGGAACTCTTATTCATTGCTGATGGCAATGCGAAATGGCGCAGGCACTTTGGAATAGAGTTTGGCAGTTTCTTAAAAAAATTAAACATATTTACCCAGCAATCCAGCAATTACACCTCTTGGTATTTACCAAATAACTTTGGCATATACATTATTGTAAATGTATGTCCACAGGAAAATTTGCACGTGAATATTTACAACAACTTCATTTATAATTGCCAAAAACTTGGAAGCAACCAAGATGTCCTTAATGGATAAATAAACTGTGGTACCCTCAGGCAATGGTATATTATTATAATTCAATGCTATAAAGAAATGAGTTATCAATCCATGAATAAACATGGAGGAACCTTAAATGCATATTACTGTGTGGAAGAAGCCTACGTTCAGGATAATTCAGACTATATGACATTCTGAAGAAGACAAGGCTATGAAGAGAGTAAAAAGATCAGTGTTTGCCAGGGCTTAGGATGGAGGAGGTGATAAATAGGCAAAGCACAAAGGATTTTCAGGGCAGGGAAAATACTTTGCATGATACCATAATGATGGATACTTGTCATTATACATTTATTCAAATTCATAGAATGTACAACACAGAAAAATTTCCCTAATGTAAACCATGGACTTTGGGTAATTATGATGTGTCATTGTAGGTTCACCAACTGTAACCAATGTTCCACTTTGGTGATGGATATTAATAATGGGGGAGGGTATGCATGTTTGAGGGCAGGGGAGTCTCTGTATCGTCCTCTCAGTTTTGTTCTCAACCTAAACTGCTCTAAAAATGCAGTCTTTTAAAAAAGTATTCATAATTTCATACACTTTCAGAGGTGCTTTGAAGGAGAAAGGTAGAGTGACAGATTGTTATAGTCATGACCTCTAAGAAATCCCATCTTCATGTACCCAGAACCTTTGTAATGTGACATAGTATCTGAGTTGTATTTTATCATCCCCTTCACTGGCTTTGTGACTTGCTTTACCCATTATAATGTGGCAGAAGTCTTGTGTGAATCTCAATAGATTTTGCAGGTTTTTCCCTGACAGTCTTAAAACCCTGAAACCACCATAAGGTGAAATTTAATCCAAGCCTAATAGAGAATGGAAGGTTAACTATGGAAAAACCAAGGAGCCCCAGCTCATAGCCAAATGAAGTAGCAAAAACTTTGATTGATACCATCTCAGAACCTCCAGCTTGAGTGTAGTCATCAAAAGACTTAAGCCACATGAGTGATCTCAGGAAGAACCAGCAGAAGAACTTCCCACATTGCTAAGGTGGAATCACGAGAAATAAAATATTAGTATTGTTTTAAGTTACTCAGTTTTGAGGTGATCTCTTACGCAGCAAAAGGTAACTGAAACAGAAATTAATACCTGGAAGTGGGTTTCTCCCTTTAAAAAACCTAAAATGTTTGGCATTATCTTTTAGCTCAGGTGGCAAGTGGAGAGTGAAAGAGAAGCAGGAAGACTGCTACTGGGGCAAGAAAAGCACTGAGAAAATTGTTATCTTAGGCTGCAGAAAAGGCAACCTGTGTCCTACACCAGCAGAACAATTAACATAATTTTATCCTACATTAAAGCAGAAGATAGAAGATAACCTAATGAACTTGTAAATCTTACCAAGGAAAATTTCAGGCTAAATGAAGTGTCAGTTGGTTCCTTTAACATTTAAAAAAATGCTCTAAAAAACGAAGTTTGGTTTATATGCATAATTTAGAAGAAATATAGACATCCCAGGGTATTCTCTCCAGCCAGTAAAATACTGTCAATTAAGAAATGCCTAAGAAAAGATTGGCTCAAGGGTGTGTCCATAATACCACTTGTGAAAATCTCAGAAAAGTTTAAGGTGGGGCTCACTAGAACCTCTCAGGTAGAAAAAGGGGCTTCTATTTCAAGGCTATTTCCCAACAACTCCCAAATTTAAAATGGCATGCTATAGGATGAATTTGCCATGACTTTATGTAATGGAGTGGTACATAATTTCATATATAGGAAACCCACAAAGTTTAAGCATGCCGTATTGTTTTAGACTAAATGGTAGTTCAAAATGAGAAGAGGCTTCTGGGCTGTCAACTTTCTATAAAGGAAACAGGCTGAGAGGACAGAGCTAAGAATAAAGAAGAAGAATAGATTAGAGAATTGATTCCAGGGAGAATAATTCAGCTTTAATCAAAGACTATTCCCTGACTTTGGAAAAGGAGAATTGTTATCAACCATATCAACCAGTGTTTACTATGCACCTCCTAGTTCTGTTTTCAGAGTGGGATTGTCTATTGCAGTTACTTGTCTCCATCTCATTGTTGTAGGTTGAGTGTGTGGGGTGTGTAATCCACATCTGGACCTTATTTAGTTGATGAGATCCCAGACTCAGAGCCTGAATCTGGTGTTGATTAGATGATATTTGAAAGGGTCTTGAGAAGCAGGAGGGAGTGCATTTTACATGTGAGAGAGTATGACTCATTGAGGCCAGAGATGGCACTGCTGTAGATAATCATCATAATGATCCTCAGTAAACCATAACTCACTGTTTTATACCCATTCGTTAAGTGTCTTTACCCATTTTCCTATCATGAGGTAGAGTCTATTTTACAGACTCCTTGAGTCTAAACTGGTCTGGTGACTTGTTTTAATAAATAAATGTGATAGAAGTAAAATAATAAGAGTTCTAGAGTCCAGGATTTAGCTGATGGAACCCTGACATCACAAGGCTGTGAAGAATCCCAGTCCGTATATTAGAAGATGAGAGGTCACATAGAGAACAACCAGAGACCCACAATGGTAGCACGTACAACCAGACAGCTGATTGAGACCATCTTGGACAGTGGAGTGCCAGCATAGCTGTCAGATGACCTCAGCATCATGAGCAACCCCGAAGGATGCCAACAAAAGACCGTCTAGATTGTGAACAAATGGAATAACGAAAAATTATAAAGTGCTATTGCTATAATACACTAAATTTGGGGATGATTTACTATGCAGCAAAAGATTTATGAAATGGGTAGGTTACGTACTATATTGGCTGCTGGAAAATTAGGTAAACTCAGTATATAGTAGATGCATAAAAAATTAGCAAATGCACACATTTTAGTTTCAAACAATGCTTATGATATCCTTGTACCCCTTAGGTGTTATTGATAGCTAGAAACACATTGAATTTTTCAAGTCATAGTTCTTTACATTTTGGGGATTTGAATATTTACCTGCA